GGGTGCGTGTGCATGAGCAAGCAGGGGAGGGGTTGAAAGAGGGAGAGAGAGGGACAGAATCCTAAGTAGGCTCCGCACAGTCTGCACAGAGCCCAACACAGGGCTGAAACTCACGAACCGTGAGATCATGACCTGAGCTGAAATCAAGAGTCATACACTCTACATTCAGGCAGTTGCCTGAAACACCCAGGCGCCCCTTCTTTTTTCTCTTAAGCTACCCGTGAGTCGTAACACTCCAGCAAGTTAATAGTTTTGTAAACAAAACCAAAGCATTTATCTTTTTCTCCGTTTCTCCAAAAATTGGGAACTATTATTAAGTATCCTTATTTTCATGGCAATATAGTTATTTGCATAGATTCAGTAAGAACCTGTCCTCTTTGTGATAGGACATAACTTGAAAAGGCTGATTATATAACCAAGGAATGTCATATTTGAAAATGACGCATGGAATCAGACATGACCAGACAGTTTTGAGAACTACAATTGATTTTACAAGGAGGCAGTGCTTACAAAGCCCTCTTGAAAAAACCAGGCTTGTACTTGGCTTACAGAAGATCCTAGCCTTACTCCCAAGGTGAGTAAGGAACATCCCTTCCTGGCAGACCCAGGAACCCTAAGGTATTTGGGGGACCTTGAGTAGAGAGGAACTCACCCAAATCTACAGGTGAACTGATAGTGAGTTCTTGTTTTGGCTTCCTAGCCTTGAAAGGCTTTTAAAATGCCAATCTGAGATTCCCCATAAAAAGTTCCACAAAGCAAACTTAACAAGGCCTATGTGGTCAATTGCCATTTTTGCTGCACTTATGTAAATAATCAGGCCAAATTTAACAAGACCAGAATGATTTTGTAAACAAAAATAATCTTTGTGTGATTATCTTTGATCAAAAAGGGAAGTGGCTGCAGAGGGAAATGTTATATCTCAATGGAAAAGAATAATACAGACTTGTGGGTTATCAGATTCTAATCCTGTTTATTGTGTTTGAGGTTTTACTATACTACCTATGAACTGGACTGCATTCTTCCATCTTACATATTTTGTCAGCCCTTACCCAACCCTCAGCTCTTCTAGATTCCTTCAGCATCTCACTACAATTCTCCAAATTGATGTTTCCAATTTTTCTCCCTTCCCTCCTGACTTGGCATCACTGAGAACTAAAACCTGACTGCCCAGACCCTTCCTGGGACTCCAGTTGTCCTGTTGCTGCCCTTTTTCCTCCAGGATCTGAAAGAGTCCCGCATGCTGAAGCATGAAGACAATTTGATAGAACTCTCAAAGAGCTCATCACACAACAAATCATGTGTGTGCACCTTCATTCCTGGAGCTGCAGCTGCATGGGCCACTCAGAAGTCCATGGGAATTCCCACATCTTCCATGCTCTGCTTGGAGAAATAATCTTGACTGTGACACTGATGTCTATACTATATGACCATAAACACTCAAAACTGCAAACTGGGAAATCCACCGGATTTCCACAATGGTCCTCACTCCACAACCTAGAGATGTTAGGGGTCAATGTCTAAACTCTTCCCAACTGGCCATCTGTGGGACTCAAAAATCAGGTTTACGGTCAGTTCCAACCCTTAATCTTTGCTTTTCTTTCTGTTCCCATAGAAATGCCCCTCATTAAATGCCTGATCACTGGCACCATCCAGCAAGTACCCTCTACTAGCAAGTTCCAACAGATGGTTCAACAAAAGGTGATCAAATGGAAATGGGCTTATATTATTCAGCAGAAAGAACATCTCTTCTTTCCTTTAACAAGAGGGAGAGACCTGCCAAAGACTCTTTCCTTGACCAAACTCTATCCAGGCTCCTCTGAGCCTTCTTCTCAACTAGGCCTCAACCTTGGCCTATAAAGACTTGAACAAACACTAAATAGCGTCTAACAGCTCAAAGTTGCATCCTTAGCATGACCTTAGCCCCCTTAAGGTGCATGCCAGAGAAAACTCCAGGCTTCCCAAAGAAGTGACTGTTCCAGCAAACACCTGAGGATAGGGCTCCATCTCCAAGTCGCTGTGGGAGCTTTCATAAGCATGACTTAGCACATCCAAATGGGTGTTACACAGACCAGCTTCCTCTTCCCACTTTTCGTAACTTCTCACTTCCCTGACTCACTCCTGCCATCCCCCTCCCCCACTCATTCACTCTTCCTTTGAAAGGCCCAGTGCCTCTGAACAAATCTGAATGGAGCTCAGCTCTTTCCCCTACTGTGGGTAGTTACTGAATAAAATCTGTCCTTACTGCTGTAACTAGTGACCAGCTGTGTTCGTCTATGGCACTTCTCTTCCCACTAGGCCCAACACTGCTCCTCAGAGCACCTCTGGGAGTTGGGAGGCAGCAGGCAGTAGGCAGTCAGGGAAGCTCAGTCCCAGGCAATTGGTCAAGAAAAGTCCCTGACTTTAAAAACTGAAAGGCTGGTATAACAGTTCCATTCTGGAGTGACTTCCTCTTTCTCAACATTCTCACATGGGGATGGGGCCACACCACCCTCACCTAGCCCTTGCTGGAGTGTTGGGCTCCAGTCATTTCCTTTCCCTCATGGCAGCCATTTCCCTGAAAGGAAAAGCCTGGAGGTACCCCAGGGGTCAGCCCATCAGGCCTCCAGGGGGAAACTGGTCACTGAGCTCCTCCAGGCCTTGACACCCACAATTCTCCCACTCCCAAGCGTCTGATCCCAGCTCAAAGATCAAGTGTGACCTCTGCAAGCCCATCAAGTCAAAGCACTCCCCCCGGGAGATAGCCCCGTCTTGAGGTCTAGATCCCCTATAGAAGGCCGGATCCCCTATCCTTGTCTAGAACCCTAGCCCCAAGTCGGATCTTCCCGTTCCAACACAGATCTGCTACTCCCTCAACCCAGTCTGGTATCACAGTCCCTTCCGTCCAGAGATTCCCACCCAAGGTCGGATCCTTTCTCATAGGCATCCTAATTTCCCACCCCGCATCCGGAGGTCCTCACCCCAGAACAGACCCCAGATCAGATGCACCCCAGGTCCGGAGACCCCCCCCACCGCAGATGAGGTCCGCCCCAGGTCGAAGAAGAGCCCCCCTCCCCACCCCAGATCAGATCCACCATAGGTCCGGAGACCCCACCCACCCCATGTCAGATCTGTCCCGGGTCGGTAGAACCCCACCCAAGGCCGGATCCCCGCGGTCCGCCAGCTCACTCACTTCGCCTTCGGCGGCGGCGGCGTCCTTGGCCAGGCGGACCCGCCCCGGGCCGGCGCAGGCAGCGCCGCGGACAGCCCCGGGCGCCCGAGAGGCCCCGCGTGGCTATGGCGGTGATGGCAATGGCGGCTGCGCTGCGGGGACCCGGCGGGCGCTTCCGGTGGCGTACACAGGCCACGGCGGGCGGGGTGCGGGGCTCGGCACGGGGAGCCGCAGGTAGGGCGGGGCGGGCTCTCTGCGCCGGGCGGGGGTCGTCCAGGAGGGGGGGCGTCCTCCAGGGTTTGCCCACGTGGGGGTGTCCCCGCGGGCAGCATTCTGGGCTGGGACAGGAGTCTGCAGGCTTCCAGGCTCTCCGATCCCCCTTCCAGATGGGGAAACAGCTGCGGGACGCCGCTGGAGGTTCTGCTGGGTGAAATGATCTGTGCTTGCAGCCCCACCCCCAGCCAAGTATATAGTCCTGGTGATTATGGTGGTTGTGACTCACCTCCTGAGGTTACCAGGCGCCATCACCTGCACACCCCATTAGTCAGACTTGGCCACCTCCTCCCTGAGTCCCTAGTGGCCACACACAGCAGGTGCTTAGTATTTGCACTGCTTAGAATCATTGACGGGAGACTTCCAAACTGATGGGCTCACTGCTTACAGTGCTGTGCAGGTGCCCTGGGGAGGAGACAATCCCTGGCCAGTCCTCCTGGAGCCCCCAAGGATCATTAACCAAACCAGGTTATTAACCGTACACCAGGCATAAGGGATGGCCCCAGGCTCCAGAGTAGGGGCTGCGTGCTGGGGCTTACAGGAGGGTTGGCACCCAGCCTGCAGGTCAGGGTCCCCAGAGCAGGCCACAGTGCCACCACATCTGCCATGGTGGCATGGCCAGTCCCACATGTGGTGACATCTCCCCACCACATGCCTGCACAGTGACCGACTCCTAGACCTTGTCCCTGGATGACTCCCCATGGGGAACCAGCATTGAGGGGCCTGTGAAAGGAAGGGATGAGGCCTCCTTCAGAGGTGGTGGCTGTGGGAGGAAGAGCAGCAGGGTGCTTGCCAGCAGTGGAATGAAGCTGACAGCATGTGTAGATGGGCAAAGTTGTGTGGCCTTAGGGAGCCTAGGGGATCAAGTGGCCCTGCAGAGGCCTGGGAGGTGGGGAGATGGAGTTGCTCTTAGAGTGGCTTTGCTGACCCCTGGGACTTTGGCCAGGATACCCCATCTTTGAAAGACTCCTTGCTGCATGAGTAAGGTGGGATGTTCATGAGGATTAAACGCAGCTGTGCAGTGGGGCCCTCACCCCACTTGGTGAGAGTAAAAGATGCATAAATAGGAGCTGCTGCTGCTGCTGCCACGAGCCCAGGGCCCTTCTGGCCACTGTAACCTTGGCCTTAGGGCAGAATGGAGTGGCCTTGGAGTGGAGTTTTTTGTTTCTACCTGGGCAACACAAAAGATTCTGCCTCCATGACCCTTGGGCAGCAAGGGGAAGGAAGCCCCAAAGCTAGAGCTTAGCTGCAGTGATGAGGAGCTGACAGGACCTGGGCACAGTGCCAACTCCCAACAAGGATGCCCAGAGCTAATTTTGAGCCTCCTCCTCCATCTCAACTGCAGCTTTCTGTCTGAGAGCAGGAAGGCACCTGCCCCATCCCAGGCTTGGGGGTGGCCCATGCCACCCCTGAACAGGAACCAGAATGACACTGCTGTCACCTGTCCCCTAACACCTGTTACCAGGAAGGATGCACGATGCAGGGAATAGTCACAAAGGGACTCCCAAGGTGGTCCCCTGAAGTGGTCAGTGTGCCTGTGGACACACAGGAAAGCCTCTGCTTGCCCTCCCAGAGCAGTGCACCATTCATTCAGCCTTGTCAAACTTGCTGGGGGCCAGGCCTCTGGTTCAGAGGGGGAGCAGAAAATTAAAGGACAATGGACTCAGAACAAATTGGAGACAGACCTTTCTGGGGCTGAGCCCTGAATGTGCAGTGGGGAAAGGAAGGCTATGAGACTGTCCAGGGCACCAGAGTGCACAGGTGTGTTCCAGGTAACCCCCGCAGAGCAGTACCCACCTCATCCGCCCTACAGGCCCTTGAGGGTCCTTCCCCCTGGCAGGGTATCCCAACCCTCCTACATGTTTAAAGGAAGATTTCCTACACTTACAGAAAGTTCCACTGCTGACCTCTTTCACAGGTTTATCAGACTGAGAGGCTCCTGGGTGTGCACAGCAGGCAGGGAGAGCAAACCAAGGATAAGCCCGCAATCTACACAGCCAGTTGGTTGCCCTGCCCTCTGCCTGATAGCAGGCAAAGGGGACACAGTGTGGGGCTGGGGACACCAGGAGCTTGCAGGGACCTGTTCTGTCAGCAGGAAGGACCAGCACCAGCACCTGCAATGGAAGGTAGGGGTGTTCTCCTGGGCAAAATCTTAGTGTTTCCCCTCCCCCTGTTCACCACGGGGCAGCTGGAGAGACGCTGCCCTGCCCAGCAGGCGTGTGCTCATCACAGCCCAGCAGTAGCTTGTCTCCAGCCAGCAGTCTGTCCTCAGCTCTTTGGGCTCATATCAAAGCCACCAGAATAACTGACAAAGTTTAGGCCTCTTTAGAGCCCTTGAGTTGAATTTGGAGTTAGGTTCACTGTGGACTGGCTGTTTGAACCAAGTTGTGGCTCCCTTCGATCCCATGTGCGCCTCTCACACATTACAGGTGCCCTCAAATGCCACCTGCTGGACAGAACCCGGGGTGGGCCTGGCTTTGGGGTGGGTGCAGTGGAGCGTCTCCACAGGACAGTCTGGTAGCAGGGCACCATCCAAGCACCTGGACACAAGCTCCTGGTGGTGACTCCCCTAACTTCACCAGCTGCAAGCCAGGGCCTCCTCTAGGCTCAACTGAGCTCCTGTGTCCTTGCAAAGCATAGGTTCTAGACCCCTGCCTGTGGGACATCTACAAAGCCAGGGTCCCTGAGGGATGCGGTCCTCAGGAGTATTCTCTACGGCCTTGCCCACCAGAAAGGTCAAGGTGGCCACAAAGGCAGGTGCAGTGTTTTCACTTCTCAGGTTCCAGTGTGACCAGCTGCGCTGGCCTTGGGTGGCAGACCCTTATTTGATCACAGGATCCTGTGCTTCACCCAGGAGCAGTGGCCAGCTCTAGACATTCTGAAAGCAGTCTGACCTCCTCTGCCTTTCAACATACTAATAATTTTCTGTTATTTCTTCCTTTCTCTATAGGGAGTAGGCCAGTGCCTGGTGCCGGGCCTTTCCATCTTGGGCCCTGTGTCAGAGCTTTGACCAGCCGGCCACACCTAAGGACACACCTACTCTCACCTACCCCCGACTCACTCCTTTGCTCACCACGACCCCCCCTTCTGACTGTCCCTTGCTTGCTTTCCATGCCAGCAGTTTGCATAAGAGGGACAGATAATGTCTTCCGCAGGGCAGGAAAGATGTGAGCGGCCCTCTGTGCCGGGCGTGGGAGTGGGCTGTGTGTTGCCTCCAAGGTGACGCCATGGTAAGCCCAAAAGGCATTTTAGAGTCACTTCTCCCCCAAGGCCCACAGTGCACTAGGCACTTTGAGAGGCCAGGGTGTGCTGCCCGATGCAGGGATTGCTTTTTATATTTTTCCTCACTCAGAACAAAAGGTGACTGTTACAGCCGAAAGACACACTCAAGAAAAGTGTTCTTGTTTTTCGTTTTTGTAATTTTTGGGGTAATTTTTATTTTTGAGAGAGTGTGAGCAGGGGAGGGGCAGAGAGAGAGGCAGACAGAGGATCCAAAGTGGGCTCTGTGCTGACAAGCTGACAACACAGATCCCAACGTGGGGCTTGAACTCACAAACCACAAGATCATGACCTAAGCTGAAGTTGGACGCTCAACTGACTGAGCCACCCAGGTGCCCCCCAAGAAGAGTGTTTTAATCCCGTGTCTGGCTTAGAACGTTGGGTGACGTGTAAGTTCAGAGCAGTTCTGAAGCAGAGCAGAGCAGTTCTGGAGCGTGAAGTTCAGAGCAACTTCTTCTTGACCTGATTGTTGTTGCAAAGGCAATTACACACCTTTCACCAACCTCACCTGGCATTGCTTGGTTTCAGGATTTGTGCTGATGATGGATACCATCGTTGCCTTCTGCCTCGATGTGTGATGCATCATCACCCCAGACCATCACAGGATGGGGGCTCCAATCCTATAAAACAGATCTCATACCACATTTAACTGGGCAGAGCTGTTTGCCCTTTGGAAATCACATGGTATCTTATGGGATCCATATCCCAGACTTGTCCTGACCCTTCTTCTCACCTCTCCTTTCTCCAGCAGGGAGGCAGGACTACAATCTCCTGGTGATTGGCGGGGGATCTGGCGGCTTGGCTTGTGCCAAGGAAGGTATGTGTCCAGTTCCCTGTATCCTGCCAGTGTGGCGGGGGCTCCAAGCTTTCAGGGACGCCTGGAGAGGGCTGCATTGTTCTCGTAGCTAGGTGGAGATGCACCCTGAGTGGCCATGCACAGAATGCATTGTCTCTGTAGCTGGCCTGCTGGTCTCTGGGGTCCTACATCCTGCAGGGTCACCCCAAGAGCCTCCCTGCTCCCTGCCGCTCCCGAGTTGTCTGTGCAACTCCCAGCAGCCAGGATGACACCCAGGTCTGAGCCTGCCCTCTTGGGCTGCAGCCCAAGGCCTCATGGGAGCTGTCCCCACCCATCTGACATGTCTCCCACCACCCACACCCTTGCTCACTCTTCTGCTACAGCCCCTGGCTGCCTCACTGCTTCCCGAAGGTCTTTCTGGCCTTGCGCCTCACCCTGGCTGTCTGCCTGGCCTGGTCTGGCCTGGTCTTCACCAGCCTGGTTAGCTGTGGGGCTCACTCATCTTCCTTCAGTCTTTGCTGCCAAGGGTAGAATTACCCCCTTCCACACACATCTGGTCCCTGCTCCCGGCTCCACTGTCCTCGTTCTTAGCCCTGGCACTGTCCCACAGAGATCATGGTTTGTTCTGCTGTCCGTGTCTAACCAGATGGGTCTGGGCACCCCGGGGTGCTCAGTAAAGATGTGTTGAGTGAAAGGGCTGGACCCAGAGGCATCCAGAGACCTCGTGTTGCAGTTTACCACTAATCTGGATGCGGAACAGATGGCCACCATTTCACTGGGGGCTCTGCTCTCTGCTTTAGGAGTGCCTGGCAGTCTGCTTGTCTGTCTAAATGATAAGGAGGCAGGTGAGGCAGATGTGGATGAGGGAGAGGGGAAGACAAGAGAGAAATGGTGCCCAAAACATGAAGAGTTGAGCAGCCACCCTGACCATTTAATTACAGCTCTCTGATATCAGATCCTGGGTTTTAGAATCACAGTTGGCATAAAGGAAATTTGCTGTCCACTGCTCTTGCTCTGAGGGGCAGAGGAGGGTGCTGGCCTGCAGTGGAGGGCAGGAACCTTGGAAGTCTCCCAGCTGATTTGGGGGCCCACAGAGGGACACGAGATCCTCATCCCATTGAACCACAGAGCCACCCCAAGAAACAGAGCATACAGACAGTTGTCCCAGTGGTGTGTCTTATAGCAGAAGAAAGCCCTGGATGTCGTGTCCACTCTAGTGTCTTATCTGTAGAGGCACATCTCTGTTAACCCACAACACTTCCCAGGTCTGTCTTTGCCTTTCTCAACAGTGACATCTCTCCCTGTGTGCTTTTCTATAGCTTTACTGAAATATAATTGACTTAAACCGTACGTATTTACAGTGGACAACTTGATATGCTTTGACATACGTACACACCTGTGAAGCCAAGTACCGCAGTCAAGCTAGTGAACATGTCCGTCCCCCCCGTATTAGCTTGCCGGGGTTGCCGTCACAAAGAACCACAGGCTGCATGGCTTAAGCAGCAGAAATGTATTTCCTCACTGGAGCCTGGAAGTCTGAGATGAAGGTGCCAGCAGGGTTGTTTCTTCTGAGTCCTCTGTCCTTGGCTTATAGATGGCTGTCATTTCTCTGTGTCCTCACATGGCCTTTCCTCCGTGTGTCTATGTCCTAATCTCATCTTTTTATATGGACACCAGTCAGATTGGAGTAGGTAGGGCCCACCCTATGGTCTCAATTCTAACCTCTATAAAGACCTTGTCTTCAAATAAGGTCACATGCCAAGGTTCTGGAGGTTTGGGCTCCAACATGAATTTTGACGGGACGTGACTCAGCTCATAACAAACCCCAAAGTTTCCTCAAACCTTGGGAACCCCTTCCTGCTGCTCCCTCTCTGCTGCATCCCCAGACAGCCAATGATCTGCTTTCTCTCACTACAGATTAGTTTGCATTTTCTAAAATCTTGTTATGCAAGATGAGATCATGCAGCATGTATTCTTACTTCTCTGGCTTTTTTTCACATAGCATAATTATTTTGAGATTGATCTGTGATGCTGTGTGCATCTAGAGTTCATTCCTTTTTATTACTGATTAGTATTCTGTTGTTTGCATGCACCACATGATGTTGGGCCAGTCACCTATAGGTGGACATTTGGGGTATTTGCAGTTTGGGGCTATTGTGAATGGTGCTGCTGTGAACATTTGGGTTTGTGTTTTGGTGTGGATGCATGTTTTCAATTCTCTGAGATAAATGCCTAAAAGTAGAACAGGTAGGTCATGTAGTATATCTCTTCTTTAGGTATTTTTTCATTTATTGCCATAGTCTTTCATAGTCTTCAATGCACAGGTCTCCACATCGTTCATCAGATTTATCATGAAGTGTTTCATATGTTTTCTAACAGCTTTTTGAGATTAAGTCATATACCATACTATTCATTCATTTAAATTGCATAATTCAGGGGCGCCTTGGTGGCTCAGTCAGTTAAACATCTGACTCTTGATCTCGGCTCAGGCCTTGATCTCAGGGTCATGAGTTTAAGCCCTGCTTTGGACTCTGTGTTGGGTGGGAAGCCTACTTAAAAAACACAAAAATGCACAATTCAGTAATTTTTAGTATATTCACAGAGTTTTACAACTATCACTATATCAATCATAGAAATTTTCACCACCCTCCAAAATTATTCTGTATCCATTAGCAGCCAGTCCTCAGCCCCAGACAACCACTAATCCACCTTCTGTTTGTGTGTATTTGCCTATTCTGGATATTTCATATAAATATGTGGTCTTTTGTCTTTGTATCTTCCACTTACCATAATGTTTTCAGCACTCATCCACCACACAGCATATGCTAATGCCGTATTCCTTTCAGTGGCTAAATACCATTCCACTGCATGGACAGATCACATTTTATTATCCACTTGTCCATTGCTGGACATTTGGGTTGTTTCTACTTTTTTGGCTTTTGTGAATGATGGTACTGGGAACATTTGTGTGCATATTTTTGTGTGGATCTGTTTTCCTGTCTCTTGGGTAGATACCTAGGAGTAGAATTGCGGAGTTGTGTGGTTTGACCTTTTGAGGAAATGCCAGACTATTTTCCAAAGTGGCTGTATCATTTTATATTCCCACCAGTGATGCAGGAAGGTTCAGATTTCTCCACATCCTCTCTAGCATGTGTTATCTTTTTTATTATAGTCTCCTAAGTAGGTGCTCAAATGGTACCTCCTTGTGGTTCGTCTGTGTTTTCCTAACGATTAATGACATGGATCATCTTTTCATGTGTTTATTGTCTATTTGCATATCTATGAGTAAATGTCTATTCACAAGTTTTGCCCACTTTTTTTTTTAAAGATTTTATTCTTAAAACAATTTTTTAATGTTTATTATTTATTTTTGAGAGACAGAGTATGAGCAGGGGAGGAGCAGAGAGAGAGGGAGGCACAGAATCCGTAGCAGGCTCTGGGGTCTGAGTTGTCAGCACAGAGCCTGACGTGGGGCTTGAATCCATGAACTGTGAGATTATGACCTGAGCCAAAGTCAGACGCTGAACCTACTGAGCCACCCAGGTGCCTCCTATGTTACATATTCATACATAAATATATTCTGGTTACTAGACCCTTATCAGGTATATGATTTGCCAATACTTTTTTCCATTCCATGGATTATCTTTTCACTTTCTTGCAGCACATTTTTAATTTTGATGCAAGTCCGGTTTATTTCTTATTTATTTTGTTGCTATGCTTTTGGTATTTGAGAAACAGTGGTCTTACCCAAGCTCACAAAGGTGTATGCCTGTGTTTTCCTCTAAGACTTGTACATTTTCAGCTCTGACACTTAGGCCTTTGGTCCATTTTGAGTTCATGTATACATAGGGTGCGAGGTAGCTGCTTTGGGGTTTGCAGTAGACACCTTGAACTTGTCACAGTCTGCCTGCAAGTGATATTGTCCCACTTCACATGTAGTACGAAAACCTTAGTATGGTAACATGCTTCCCTTACTCCCTTCCGAGCCTTTATCCTATGTGGTCATATGTTTTACTTTTACATGTTATAAGCCCCATAACACATTGCTATTTTTTTGTTTAAACCATTACCTTCAAAAAAGATTAAACTAATGAGGAAAAAATCTTACACATCTGCCCGTGTAGTCACCATTTCTGGTGTACGCTTTCCTTTGTACAGATCCGAGTTTCCATCTGCCATCATTTTGCTTCTACCCTAAGGATGTCAGTGAACATTTCTTGTGATGTGGCTCTAAGAGTAATTAATTCTTCAAGCTTTTGTATGTCTGAAGACATCTTTATCTTGCCTTTAGTTTTTAAAGATATTTTCTCTGGGTGGAGAATTCAAGGAAGATAGAGTTTTTGTTTGTTTTTTCTTTTAGTACTTTAGAGACATTGTCCTTCTGGCTTCTCACTTGCATTATTTCTTTTTGTTTGTTATTAGAGAGAGAGAGAGAGAGAGAGAGAACACAAACCCAAACAGGCCCCATGCTCAGCCTGACACAGTGCTCAATCCCATGACCCTGGGATCATGACCTGAGCCAAATCAAGAGTGGGACACAACCAACTGAGCCACCCAGCAGCCCTCACTTGTATTGTTTCTGATGTCATCTGCTGCCTCTTTATCTCTGTGTTCTTTCATTGTGTGTCTTTTTTCCTCTGGTGGTTTTCAGGATTTTCTCTTTTCATTGGTTTTGAGCAATTTAATGAGGGTGTGCCCTGGTGTAGTTCTCAATTATTTTTCTGCTAGACTTCACTTAGCTTCTTGGGACCATGGATTTATAATTCTCATCAAGTTGTGAGAATTTTCGATCATTATTTCTCCAGGTAATTTTCCTGTTCTTCCTCCTCTCCTTCACTATGGGAGACTTTAATCACACAATATATTAGGCTGTTCAAAGTTGCCCCTCAGCTCCTGGGTGCTCTCTTCACTTTGGAGAGTTTCTATTCCTGTGTTTCCAAGTTCACTAATAAAAGAGTCTGCAAAGTCTAATCTACCATTAATCCCACCCAATATGTTTTTTATCTCTTTTATTGTAATCTTCATCTCTATAAATCCGACCGGGGTCCTTTTGTATATCTTCCGTGTTGCTTCTTAACTTTTTGAGCACGGAGAATACAGTTACAATATACAATACTCATTTTAGTTTTTTTCTAATTCTGACAACTGTGTCAGTTTTTGGTTGGTTTCCATTAACTGATCTTTTCTCTCTTACGGCTTGTATTTTCCTGCTCCTTTGCATGCCTGATGGTTTTCTATTGAATTTCCCTTGCTGGCTTCTAGATATTTTTAGCTTCCTAGATACAGTTTTGAGCATGTTCTGGAGTTTGATTCCTTTGCATCTTCCACTTAAGATTTGTTAGGCGAGGAACACCTGGGTGGCTCAGTCAGTTAAGTGTCCGACTTCAGCTCAGGTCATGATCTTGCAGTTTGTGAGTTCAAGACTCGCATCGGGCTCTGAGCTGACAGTGCTGAGCCTGGAGCCTGCTTTGGATTCTGTGTCTCCCTCTCTCTCTGACCCTTCCCCTGCTTGTGCTCTTTCTCTCTCTCAAAAATAAATAAATAAACATTAAAAAAATTTTAGGTGGCTCAGTCGGTTAAGCTTCTGACTTAGGCTCAGGTCATGATCTCACGGTCTGTGAGTTTGAGCCCCGTGTCGGGCTCTGTGCTGACAGCTCAGAGCCTGGAGCCTGCTTTGGATTCTGTGTCTCCCTCTCTGTCTGCCCTTCCCCCATTCAGTCTCTCTCTCTCAAATAAATAAAACATTTTAAAAAATTTAAAAAAAAATTTTTTTTTTTTATTTATTAGGCAGGTCCAGAGCTGTGCCCAATCATTCCCAGTGACTGGGATCTGACCTTAATACTTTCACAGCTCCCCAGGAATCATTTGTTTTGTCCAGTTTACCTTCTGGGAACAGGCAGTATTCCCAGCCCTGCATGATCACTGTCTCCTCTGGTCTTTCTGGATGATTCTTTCCTGGCCTCAGGTAAATTCCTCACACACATGCACTGATCAGATGTCTGGGGTTCTGTGCAGCTCTCTCCTCTCTGGTTCTCTGTCCCAGAAGCTCTGGCTGCCTCAGTCTCCCCAGGCTCCCAGCCTCTCTCCTCAGCCATTGAATCTGGTGGGCTCTGCCTGTGCTGCATCCTGAAGACTCTCCAACTGTGAGGCTCACCTCGTTTGTTTCCTATCTTCCAAGAATCACTCTTCTTGGAAGAGTAATGTTTGGTTTCTTGAAACCCTTATTTTATGTATTCCGTCTGGAGTTTTGGTTGTCTTGGATGGGAGGGTACATCCGGTCCTTGTTGCTCCATTGTGTCAGATGGGGGAGACAGACGTAGGCATGTTTGAAGAGTCCCCCTTGTTTTTAATTTTTTTTTTTAATGTTTAGTTATTTTTGAGAGAGAAACAGAGCACAAGAAGGGAAGGGGCAGAGAGAGAGGGAGACACAGAATCTGAAGCAGGCAAAGAGTCCCCCTTGTTTTTAAAAGAAGCACTGCGATCGCATCACTGATCAGTTGAGCAAAATGGGTTTTTACATGAAGGCTTCTAAAACTTTGTTCTGATCTTGGTTGATAGCCATGAATTGAGTACATTCTGTAGTATGTGAAACACTCATGAGTCACGATGTTTAAGTCGGGCATGCCCTCAGTCAAGTCCAGTGCCCAGGCTGGCGATGCAATTCCCCAAGTAAGCCAAGGGGAAGCCCTTCAATTATCCCTGGCTAATTGGTAACAGGGTCAGAACCTAGGATTGGTGGCCCTGGGAGGAATCTGCTCACAGCCAGTGGGGAAAGCCAGGAGACTCCAGACAGGAGGTGCAGTTGGAGCCCAGGTCTCCCTCCCACTTTGGGGCCTGGCTGATCCCGGACCTGCCATTTGACCTTCCATTTTCTCACCCTGAGAATGAGGTAGCAAATAGCCACAAGGGTAGACCTTGGGTAGAAGCCTCCCATGGTGTCCAGTGGAGAAGAGAGGAGATGAATGAGTCTCCTGGGTAGGTCTGGGGAGAGAGCCAGGGGAAGCTCCGAGTCTGGGGCCTCTCCCAGGAGGTGGATACTCCTGTGATGCATGTAAGTATGCTCTGGGTGGGCACCAGGCTCATGCTGAATGTCTGGGCCTGGAGCCAGGTGCGGCAGAAGACAAGGGAGGGCTGTGGTGGGCATATGAGGAAGGGTGGGCATCCCACTGGGTCCTGGCACTAGGGTGGGTGGTGTGAAGGCTACAGTCAAGAAGAGGCCCAAGGGTTCCCATTTATGGGCAGCACAGCTGTGTGGCAGCTGACAGGTGGGGAGATCTGGGTGTGGAGCTGGTGGGAAGTTGCTGGTCCTGGTCTTTCCCTGCCATTTTCTGGTGGTCATGGGCCCCTAGGGTCCCCAGCCCCAGCCCCGAAGCAGCTGCCCATCTGCTCTCTCTTTTTGTCTTTCCAGCCGCTCAGCTGGGAATGAAGGTGGCCGTGGTAGACTATGTGGAGCCTTCCCCCCGAGGTAGGTAGCCCTGGATGGGAGCCGTGTGTCCTGGGGAAGAGGGAGGAAGGGTGCCTGGTTCATGCACGGAGGGTGGCTGAGCCTAGAGCCAGTCACCCACTGCTAGTTGGCATCTCTGGCACAGGTCCTGTTTCTCCAGTAAGTCACCATTAATGTAAAATTCCTCGTTCTTATTTAAAAATGAATCTGACTATAATCAGAGAGAGTAAATTCACAGGGCAGTGTTCACCTGGAGCGTGTCTGAGTTGCAAACAATGACTTCAAGGAATCCTACACAACTGTAGAACAGGAGAGACTTCTAGTCCCCTGAATACAAATCTAAACATGCTCTTCCCAACATGCCAGGCACTAGGTGGGGCCTAGGCGGCACGTGTGTGAACGTTGGCTGCATCCCCAAGAAGCTGATACACCAGGCAGCGCTGCTGGGGGGTATGATCCGCGACGCTCCCCACTACGGCTGGGATGTGGCCCAGCCGGTCCTGCATGACTGGTGAGGAGCCCTGCCCACTCCCAGTGCTTGTCCGCTGCTCATGGGGGAGGTTGACTGCTCCATTAACCCTCACGGAAGCGTGCTATCAGAGAGGGGCCCTCACTGGGAACAGCTCTGTGCCCCACCCCTTGACATTTGGCAGAGTCTAGAGACATTTTTGGTTATCACCACTGGTGGGGGGGGGGGGCTGCTGCACCTATGGGGTGCTGCTAAAGGCCCTATGGTGCACCGGACACCCTCACAAAGGTTGATCTGGCCCCAAAGACCACTGGTGCAGGGTGAGAAACTGATTCAGGTTCCACAGGTGGCACCTGGTCTGCTCTGAGCTGCACATAGGCCCCTCTGTGGTTCTCAGATGACCTAGACTCAGGGCCACTGCTGTGTCCTGGTGGCTGTGCCCCAAAGCCCCTGTTTTCCCTGAGTCCAAAGTCCCACAGCCCCAAACCCAGGACAGAGACAGTGGCCGTGGGGATAGATGTCACATTTCCCACCTTTAGAATCACTTTGTTTCTTAGTATTTCTGCTAACCCACTATTTGCATCTGATCGTCTGTTGTGGGACTCTATAGTTATTGCTTCTGTTGTGGTTTTTAACATCTCTTGTTGTGTGTTAACAGGAGGAAAATGGCAGAAGCTGTTCAGAATTATGTGAAATCCCTGAACTGGGGTCACCGGGTCCAGCTTCAGGATAGGTACTGAGGCCTCCTCAGGCCCTCCCGGGCCCTCTCTGGGTCATTTCATACCTTGTCAAGCACTTAACTCCTCAAAGGCTCATCAGTGATAAGACTAGAAGTCCCTGCCCATGGGGTGGGGGTGCACACACGAGAAGCAGATGGGGTGAGTGCCCTGTGAGCAGAAGGCCACCCTGCAAGCTGGCACCTGCAGAACCTGGAGTAGCAGGGAGTGGGGGGCATGTTGGCAGGATAGCTGGAGCCCAGGGCTGCACCAAGGAGGAGGCATGCTCGGAGCTGGGGCTAGGGAGAACAATGGCCAGAGTGTGGGAGCATAGAGAGGGCCATCCCAGACGCCAGCACCTTCCTCGAGGCAGGTGACCTTTCTCCTGTCAGGGTGGACCACTGTTATGTGGAAGGAGCCCCATGAGCCCCATGTTGCCCAGGCCCCACGCTGTGAAGTCCACAACTCACCTCTCATCTCCAAGGCTCCCACATCCTGAACCCCACACCTTACCACCCACCTCCTGGCTCTCTAGGCATACATGAAGGCACCTGCTGTTGTGTGCTGAAGCATATGTCCAACATGATCATTCTAGCCTGGGACAAAGTCCCGTCAGCCCTTTGGGGTCCCCCAACCAAGATGCCGAGATTTCTTCCACCAAAGGATCCTCCCTGAGGAGCCACTACCAGACGGAGAGGTGCCCCAAACTGCACTTGACTCTGGCTAGGCTTTGCTCCTGGCCCTGTAGCTCTTCCCTGTGCCCATGCAGGTCATGGAGGGGAGAGTGTTCCCTCAGAGGTCTGGTGGCTCTCATCTGAGCTCTATTTGCTTGGCTCCAAGAAGTCTTCCTGGGCCTGTACAGTAGGCAGCTATTTTGCACCCATGAAACCCAGGACACCTGAGCTGGAGAAGCTGGCCCACCTGCCCATCCTGGTCGTCCCTAGTGATCCCCCCCACCAGGGAGCTGAGCTGTATCCTGTTGTTTTTCCTCTGTGTGGGGCTCAGTATCCCCCAGTGCGGTTTGCTGGAAGCATAGGGCTCTGCCATCCATCCTGCTGGCCCTGGGCAGCAACCAGGCAAGTGCCAAACAGGCCTGACCCCAGGGCAGCTCTAGAGGTGCCCACAGATGGAAGCCGGTGCAGAACTTCTGTCTGTATCCTATGGCTATTGCTGAGCTGTGGGGGTGAGTGAGGACTTGCTTCCTACAGCTCAGGCAGCATATGGAGGCATGGGGCTTGATTGTGGGGAGGACATAAAGTCCAGGAGGTGATAAAGCCTTCCCAAATGTGCCAAGAACCCACCACTACAGGGTGGCCTTCATTATTAGAAGATGTGGATCATTTCTACACACCATGCACCTGACCACCCTTATGTCCTCATCAGACTTGTTTTCCAGCCTCACTATCCCCTAGAGGGATGTAAGAGTGTAAGAGTAATGTCTTCCTAGTGGGCACCCTTCCTTGTCAGCAGGAGGTTGGTCATTTGGATGGCGGGGATAACTGGGTGCACATGGGGGCCTCTGTTCCCTGCCGGAAAGTGCCCAGGTGACAAGGATGGACCCTAGGGAGGCTCAGCCACTTCTGTCATCACACACACCAGGGCTGTACTTGGGCTCTCAGAACCATGCTGGCTTCTGTCCAGCAGTTCCAGGGATCTATGGTCCAGGGGACCCTTGGGGAGATGACAGCTACCCTTCTCCCCCTTCATGCTTCCCAGTGCTGTCTGCCCCACCTGAGCTGTGGGCAGGGGGCTGTGGGTCCGAGCTAGGCTTTTACCCATCTGCTCCCTGTTTAATCCCATAAGTGACACTTAATTTACAGAGGAAATATTTGACAATCTTATTTTTATTTTGCAGAAAAGTCAAGTACTTTAACATCAAGGCCAGCTTTGTCAATGAGCACACGATTTGCGGTGTCACTAAAGGTGGGAAAGAGGTGAGTGCCCAGCTCTCCTGAGTGGCTCCTCTCAGGCAGTCCTGACCCTTCCAAAGACCTGGGGTGCTGACTCCAGCTTCATTCAACCCCAGTGATGTTCGCAGTAATAAGTGCTGCTGGAATTGACAGCAGATCTCTCTGAGGCTGGTTGTCACTCTCCATAAACAATGAAACAGACCACTGAGATGCATGTTGTGCTAGGCTGCCTGCTGTGCTGGGCGATAGGGTGGGTGGTCACAGCCTTGCAGAATTTTGTGGGGATTGGAGGAGACGAGACACCTGCAGGGTGCTCTGTAAACTGGGCGCGGGGGG